TTATGTTACATTCAAACAAATATTAGTTTTATATAATAATATTATTAATAAATAATAACAATTTGCGTTTTAAAATAAAATGTCGACATTTTTTTCCTTTCCCTCCCTTTTTAAATACTCTTCTTAATTAAATAAAAATGTCATTTGGCATATTTATAGTTTATTTATCAGAATCCTCAATTAATTTTATTATTTTTTAAACAAAAATTTAACATTGAAACATTTTTTTACTTTTATATAACTTAGTTTTCAGTTTATGCGATTTCGAACTTGGCCATAAATTATTAAAAACGAATTCTTCGAAAACTTTTCCCAAACTAGTATTAAAATACATATTTTGAAAATTTTTACATCTTACATTAAACAAAATAAAAAAAAAAACATTTCAATGCTTAGTCAAATCCATTATACAAGTTTTTTTTTAATAGTGACAATTAATATTTAATTTTTTTTTAAAAACGAATTTTTCTAAACGAAAAAAAAAGAAATTAACAAATAGCACTCTAACTAATGATGATAATCAAAACAAATAATAATAATAATAATAATAATCATTAATCACAACACTTAGGAATTATTTATGAAAACCTGTGAAGATTCGTCGGGGGGACAGTAAGTAGAATAATACTTTGGCCTTGAGAAAAATGATAATCAAAAATTGTGTACCGATGTGACTGTATCAGAAGGTGGATGTGAATTTTCCAGAGGATCTGTTGCATTCGAACTCCCATTAATGTCATATTTGGTCTCCTGTTCTGATATTCCATCCATTTTGGCAGGAGACCCAGTCTAGTGGGTAACCTAAAATCTGTTTTCATGCTTATCAGTTATCAAATAATAATAATAATAATCGAATATAAAATTTAAAAAAAATTATATTCACTTACAAATTATTGTAATAAAATATAATTCACATGAAATATATAAAAAAAAAAAGTAAAAAAATAATTTTGCCAAAAAATATTAGTATATTTGAAAAAAAAAAAAAAAAATCAAGTCATATATTGTAAATATTGAAGAAACATCATTCATGAGTTTTTTTTTTTTTTTTTATTGCAAAATGAATTGGCCTAAGAAGCGCACTTTTAAATTTTTTTAATAATAAATAAATAACCTTTAATTATAATGTAAATATTTATAAATTTTTGCTGGAATTTTTAAAAAAAAAAAACACTTAAACGCACTGAGATTTTTTTTATATTCACTTAAATTATTTTCTTTACTGACCAAGGTCAGCTGATAAGAAATTACCAAGGACACTCTTTTCCTCTTCACTACAAATATTTTTAACTATCATTTTATTCTCATAGCCTTTTCTATTATTTATTAAAAAAAAAAAAAAAGACGCATTTATAATGTTTAAATATAACGCGATAAAAACTGAATATATTTATTTCAAGGACGTATTTCTTTCAAATCAAGTTAAAATGCCATGTTCGAATAACATACAAATATATATCCAGAAAATTGAAAAGAAAAAAAAAAAAAAATGTATATTTTCACGAAAGTACTAAATAAAATAATGGGATGCTTCTTCTTCTCTTTTAAAATAAAATTTTTTTAATTATTATTATTATTATTTTTTTTTTTTTCCAAATATACTGTCCATGTTTGTTTTGAAATTGATGATTTAAATTACAAACCAGATTACGTATTTCTCGTCACCAAATTTCCTGCAACCGGAGTGGACAATACGTACACATACGTAGGAGCCACGTCAAATTTCACTTTTCGTCACAGGCTAAAATTCTCGACTGATTGTCGCGTCATCAAAATGGCGTGTAATTATGGCTCAAGAATACATTGAGTTGTTGAGTCATCAAAATTTACCCAAGGTCGTTTTTAAATAATACCTTACAATTATTTTTAAATATTTCACGTTGAAACCTATAAATTTAATATTATATTAATATATAATTTTTGTCATAAATATTGGGAAAAAATCAATGGATTTGTAAAAAAAAACAAAGAATTACTTTTTCATTTAAACAAAGTCATGGTTTAATGAATTTTTTTATCAGGTTAAATATTAAATTATTTCTTTAATGCCAATATTTATATTAAAAAATAATTACTCGAGTTAGTATTTATTACCCTAATGTAAAAAAATAATATTTTTTTAAATTTTTAAATTTATTAAAATGGCAAAATCTCACAAATTTCAAATTAATTATTCACGTTGTAACGTAAATAAAATTAATGGAAAAAATATCAGACCATATTCATTAAACCATGACTAAGTTTATACGTTCAGGGGTTAACAAAATATTTTAAATGAATCCTCCTGGAATTATAATAATAATAATAATATTGTAAAATTCATCCTTATATTATAATATTATTATAAAATTACAATATGATTATGATAATAATATAAAGTATTCATTTATTACAGTAGTTTGCTTCATTTTTCCTTTACCTAAATATATATTAAATATGTACTTCGAATGATGTACAATCTTTAACGATGAGTATTAATTAAATTTAAAAATTTAAAAAGAATATTATTAAATATATATTATTGGATTTATGTATTGATAAAAATCAATTAATTAATTTTACAAAGTAAAAAAAAAAAAAAAAAAAAAAAAAATTTTACGCCTAAAACTTGATTGACATTATATATATATACATCGTCTGGTTTACCTTAACGTTTTACAATACGTCACGTGTTCGATTTTTGAAATGACGTCATTTTTAATTTTTTTTTTTTTTGCTTGCCTACCCTCAAGGACAAAAGTTTTAAGCTTTTTAAGGGATGTTACGTACAACCGAGTGATGACGTAATAACATCTGTAAATTAAGATGGATGAACAGAAAACTGTTTGTAACCGTCATTTCCGTCCGTCGAATAGAATACATAAAACTTTTTCGTTATTTTTATTTTAAAAATGTCACCATTATGTAAATTTTATACATTAATTGATAAATTTATTTTCAATTTACTTACCTTAATAATTATTAACTATTAAAATATATGTGCAACACCTGTAAAAAAAAAAAAAAACATACATACAAATGTATGTATGTATACATACATACATACATTTGATTGATTGATTTATTTAAATGCAAATAAATTTTAAAACATTTTTAATATCAATTTATTATTATTATTATTATTATTTTACATACCACATTATTTATATGTAATATTTAACCCAAAAGAAAAGCCTAATTAATAAAAAAGCTGCATATATATCATCAGCTCTTATATATACATAGTTACACATACATAGATACATAAGAAACTTATGTGCTTGTTATTATCAAATCAAATTTTCAATTGAAATAATAATAATAATAATAATAATGGAAAATTGATAATTCTATTTTATAATACATTTTGGCCCCCAAAAAAATTCTGATCCCAATTTAAAAAATTAAAAATTAAATTTCAATTTATTATATTCATTTCTAATTCAAATTTTTTGATTTAGTTTTGTTTTTATTTATTAAAAAAATAAATTAAGGCTCTAAATATGTTATTTAATTACAATTAATATAAATACACAATTTAAAATATTGAAAGAGAGAGAGAGATAGATAGAGAGAGATTTGACCATATACATATTATTTATATTAACATCTAAGCAACTAATATCAAAATAATAATAATAATAATAATAATAATAATAATAATAATAATAATAATTTACATATCATTAATATTATAATTAGGCTTATTCATATTTAAAAAAAAAAAAATCCTCCACTCCTCCTCCTCCTCCTCCTTCTCCTTTTCAAATCCGTTCGATTTAACCGTTATTTTACCAAAAAAAAATATTATTATTATTATTATTAATAAATAAATATATCAAAATGTTATTTATTTATTTATCTCTACTTGAGGCACTCTAAATAATATACTCCAGATATAATAATAATAATAATAATAATTTGATATTAAATAAATAATTAATTAATGTCGTTTTATGATAAACCGGAAACAGTCAGTCACATTTGAAATTTTTTACTATATATATACCCTGACAATTAAAAGCTCAATCAATGCTTTAATACAAATATTAAATCGGTTATAAAATGGTGCAAATTTATAAATATAATAATTTTATATTTTATTTCCTTAACATTAACGCTTCGTCCATGAGTTCATCGTCCGTTATCGACTGAGGGGATTGCGAAGGTACGTCCATGGGAGACTGAACAGGACTCTTTTGAAATATTGCTGGAGAATTGGGTTTTACGAAACAGGTCGGAGTGGTTACCCCAACGACCAACGCTTTCTCCGATTTATCCGTTAATATTTTACCCGTTAAACTATTTGAAAAATCGATGAGCATTTCCGGCGGTTGTTGAGTCGATATCAAGTGTTTCGATATATCGAATGATTTTTTCACGTCGTCCGATTTCGGTAAGGGAGTATTACTGGTTTGAAATTTAACCGAAGTCACGTCCACCGTTGTCGTTGAACTTCCGTCATTTTCCATCTTGTCGACTATTGTCGCCTCGACGAATTTCGAATCTTCTCCGCGATCCAATTTCGAAGTGATCGATGATAAACTGGTGGTGGGTAGATTTGGTGACGTCATAGGAAGTTTAGGACTCACGTTTGTCAAGGCCATCGGAAGTGATAGTAAATTGGGAACGTTCGAACTTGGAATTTTAGCATCGTGTTTCGATGTTTGATATTTTAAATTTGCGGCTAAATCCAAACTCGTCTTGCTCGCTGGAATGTCCATGATTTTGATTTCGCTTTTGTCAGATATTTTTTCACTACATGATTTTATTGTTTGAATACTGTTGTTGTTGTTGTTATTCACATTACTATTGTTGTTGTTGTTGTTGTTGTTATTACTATTGTTATTGTTATTATTATTATTGTTGTTAGCATTATTAGTACTGCTAATAATAATACTATTATTACTGCTACTGTTGCTGTTGTTGTTGTTGCTGCTGCTACTGCTAGTGCTGGTACTAATATTATTATTTATATTGTTAGTACTGACAGTAGTAGCGATTTGCTCGCTTGGTTCGTTATTTCCCTGTTTGAAGCCACTTGATTCTGAATTACTAATATTTAAATTATTGGCACTAATGTTAGGAATACCACTGGTGGCACTAGTACTCGTATTTATTATACACACACTAGAATTACTGTTCGCGTTTATAATACTATTATTATCATTTCCATTGGGATTGTTAACAATACTGGAACTATTGCTGGTACTACTGGGCAAAACGTTGCTGGTGGCATTATTATTATTATTATTATTAGAATGCACTACGTTGCCCACATTAGTAGCATTGGGAAGCGTACTATTTACATTATTATTACTATTATTATTATTGTTGTTATTGTTATTATTATTATTATTATTGTTATTGTTGTTTCTGGCGGATAATTTGGGTATTTGAAATTTTGTATCGAATGGCTTTATTAATCCTTCGACGACTAACGACGGTGGAAAACCTGATTCTATTTTTAACGTCTTAATAGCACGTTCGTGATCTTCGTCGCGAACGGGAGCAGGAGACCCTTTACGCATGCCTTCTTTAAATAGAGTTTTGTCCGAATTGATTTTCAATGATCTCGATTTACCAGAATTTTCTTTACGAGTTAAATCTGTGATTGCCGATGTGATAATTTTTGGAGAACCACTTCCTTTTGAAGATAAAGATTTTGCAATGGAACTTTTAATGGTTGAATTTTTCGACAGCGAACTCGATCCTTTGGAAGACATTCCACTTAGGCTATTAGATTTAGAAGTTGATTTTTTAGATGCTGGTCCACTGATGACGCCCGGTTTTAAACCAGTGTGAGTTTTAAAGAAGCCGGTGCCAGAAGAACTGCCACTTTTCGTGATTTTGGAACCTTCTTTTGATTTTTTGTTTATTAAGAGTTTCATACCATCCGATGATTGCTTTACCATGTATTCTCCAGGATTTTTTATTCCGTCGGGTATTTTTTGAATTGATAACGCTTTGCCTTCTAATCCAATCTTAGATAGAGTTGCTCCACAAAGTCCAGATGGTAATTTACCTTCTTTTGAACTTCCGCAATTCGATGAATCTCTTTTTACACCCACAGGAGCGGTATCACTGACTTCTTGGGCCGATTTTAATTTGTCAATGACTGCCGATAAACTTCCTTTACGATTTCTTTGCAAAGGATTTCCCGAATTCTTCAAATCTCCCGTTGATGCATTATTTGGTGGAGTGCTTCTACCAGATAACGACGAGCTTAACTCACCGGAAAGATCCAACTGCTTTAATTTCACACTCGAAGATTTTATTTTAGGGCTTCCGGAAGTTGAAGAATTTGACGAGTTACCCGTTGTTTTTCGAGATGAATCTTTATCTCTTTGTTCTTTACCAATTCCACCAAGACTTCCGCTTCCGCTATTCGTTTTCATTTTTCCTTCCGAACTTTTTATACTGTTTGGAGAACTGGAAGCAGACTTTAGTGTACTCATACTAGGCTTACCAGATCCACTGTTCGGTTGTTTAGGAGAACTTGTTCCATGCTTGGGACTATGCTTCGGACTGGATCCATAAGCTGGAGAGTGCTTAGGGCTTGGCTGAAAAGATGAACTGGAAGATTTCTCACGAAATTGCGTAGGAGATGCAGAATATTTTCTCACAGACGGCGAATTAGGTCTATTTATACCAGGAGGCGAATCCGTAGCTGGTTTTATAATGCTTACAGAGACTGGTTTTGATAAAGGATCATTTTTAACAGGCACTTTTTCCGGTGGCCCCATTTTCGTAGCGTTTTCATCTTCTCTCTTCCTCTTCCTCTTTTTCTCACGAATTTTTTCATCCAAGTTTTTATTTCCACAATTTTTACGTTCTTCTTTATCAAGGGAACTTGAAATAGGTGTGATTGTAATTGAACTTGAAATGGCAGCTGAATTTGTTAATGGTATTATTTCAATTCCAGGTCGTCGTTCCAAAACGGAATTAATATTCGGAGTATTTGGAGTGATTGGCGTGATTGTGACACTAGGAGGAACCAATCCTTTTCCATCTGTCAAATCCATAATTAAACTGTTTCGCGAGGGTGATTTTTTAACTTCTTTAGATTTTTTAAATTTAATATCAGTTCTAGCAGGGCCAGCGGCAACTTTCAACATTTCTTCGACGTCGTCTATTTCGCTATTTTCTGCCAAATCATCTTTATCTCGTACTAAAAATTCCGTTTCTAAATCTATTTCCATCGGTGTGTCAGTTGAAACAGAATCATTAGAAGAACTTTCTAATAGAATTTCACAATCATCAATCGATTTTTGCTTAGAGGCTTTCCAATGTTTATCATGCTTTTGCCGTTTTTTTTGCTTTTGCTGCTCCACTACGAAACTCAAAATATTCGTGCTTTTTGGTATGTTATGATCAATAACGGTTGTTGAAAAAGAAGAAAAGTCGTCGAATTGATTTCTTAGAGTATTATTCCTACCGTTCATACCGTTACTTAATCCATTTTCTTGTTTTATTTTCGACGTGTCTATCGGACTTTGATCATTTCCGTTACCTAAATTTCCATTTGGAGCAGATGAAAAGTGACCGTTATTCATAGCGTTTAAATTTCCATCTATGGATTGATTTTGAAGAGCTTTAATCAAGTATCTCATTGTAACCGGAATTGATAAACACCTGTCGAAAGAAAAGTCAAGTTAAAACCTTGTTATTAAAATAAAAACTATACATTTTAAAGGCCAAAGAAAATAATAACCTTTGTAAAATTTTAGAGATATGTTCTGTGCTAGTTTTTACATTCATTTCCGTCGTGGAAGTATACAACTTTGCTTTTATGGATGATACATCGGTTAAATCGATTTCAATAGTAGACATACTTTCCTGTAAAGGATGTTCGAAAGAAACCGATAAATATTGGCAAGATAAGGCAGATACTTCCAACATTACCATGTTTTCAACATCTGAAATAAATTTTAAAATTTATTAAAAAATAAATTAAAAGTGCTAAAACAAATGAAGTTGAATTCTTGAATTAATTAATTAATTATTAAAAAATTTTATAAATAAATTAATACTTACCTTGTTTGCTATGTGGTCTAATTATGCTACTGACCAATCCATTAAATACTGCTTGCTGTCGTAAAATTGATAATATAAGAGGAACTTGTGATGGATGAGTAAATGGTATTGAAGATAGCATAACGCCATCAAGTCCACGACATTCAGTCATAAAATAGCAATGAACTTGATCAGGCAAATTCTGAAAAATCAGAATAGAATAGTTAATTACACGTTTTTGTAAATTAAATTAAAAATTTTTTTTTTTTTAAAAATAAAATTAATACTCACCACAAATAAGCCTTTGTTTGACGAAGAATCCATTTTACCATTAGAAGCAAATTGAGTTATAAGGCTAAATAAAGGATGAGGATTTGAAGAATCGCAACATTCTAGTTCTGACAAAGCATTTATTTGTTTGACCAATTCAAGGCATATCGGTTGTGGTTTGTTTAATTTGAGAGTAAAATAAGCTGGTAAAGTTGCACTGTTGGATGGAGTCATTGGAGCATACAAAACAGAGCTGAAATAAGAAAAAAACAATATTTCATTCGAATTAGCTCCTAAGGTATATATATGTATTTTGTTTAAGTCGATAATATTTACCTTTTATTAGAATTTTTGTTAATACTAACTAAGGGTGCAGTCTGCAATTTATGGGCTGCTGATCCTTCTAAACAAATAGTAACACTGCAACCAATATTACTTTTATAAATTAAGTCTAATGATAATTCTTTTTTAGTTTCAAGTACTTCATATGGAGAAACAAAGTATGTCAATCTCATGGGATGCCCTGTAAAATAAAATAAAAATATATAATAATAGTTAAAATTTACTACATAAGAATAAATAATTGAAAAATAAGATAATTTTTCTATTAACTCCTCATTAAAAATTTTTAAAATTAAGTTTAATTTATTGAAAATACCAACCTCCCCTTCTTTTTAATAAAACACCGACTGGTGATTTATTGAGTAAAGTTAATACATTTTTCGTATTAGATTGTAAAGACCAATGAGCATCTAGATCAGCCTCTAAAGCACATAAAGCACTGAAAGCTTTACATTTAACTTTTTTTTCAGCATTCAATTGATATATTGAAATAAGTCCCTGTAACTGAATAGTAAAATCCTCAAAATCTCCTTTCGACAAAGACTTGACCAGTTCTTCGCAAGACTAAAATAAAGCATTCAACATTGTTAAATAAAATTCAATACTTTTATAATTTACTATGAATTCACAATCAGTCAAGAAAAATCCTCTATTACCTGCTGCTCTAATTTTCCTTCATGATGAATTTTAACATCTTTTACGTTGCCAGTACTTTCCAAAGACACTTCTAAGTAGAACATATCGGAAGAAATAAATAATTCTAATCCTGTAGGTCCTGGCATAAGTTTTAAACTCAATTGTCTAGATATACTTTCTAATCTTTCTACTATTCCTTGCATGGTAGTAACTTTCATCGACTGCTGTAGTGTGTCTAAACATTTTTGCAACTGATGTCTGTCAGCTACATCCATTGGAAATCTTTTTTCCTAAAAATACAAATTACATAAATTATTTTATTTTTATTACAACGTTAAAATAACATCCAAAAAAAGTCATTTGATAATTTAAATGCATTTTAAACTACATAGCCATTTATAAAAGTGAATTAATGTCATATTGTTTACCAATTGGGACATTCTTATGCTTTTTGCGCATTCTGCAAATGATTTGAATTGGTTAGCTTTTGAACGAATTTTCTCCATAAGGAGATCCATTGTAACGTTATTAAATATTTAAACAAAGTTCTTTAAAAAAATTAAAAACATATTTTTTTTTTAATTGGCAAATAACATAAAATTAGTAAAAAAAATTTTTTTTTTTTTTTTAAATTCAAAGATAATTTACATTTTGAAATACAATTGAATTAAATTTTACTAGTTCAAAAAAAAAAAAAAAAAAAACTTTATTATAAATATTTATTTATAACAATTTCTAATCAATGACTTTACAATAAAATGTAAAATTATTGAAAAACATTTAAAGAAAAACTAGTTATCGAATTAGTAATTTCTTCGAATTAATTACAATTCTAATATTATAGTATACTATTTTTACTCTAAGAATATATTTTCTATGACATATAGTATATATATTCTAGGGTTTACAAAATGGAGGATAAAATGAAACTGAGAAATCGTTAATTATTTTATGATTGCAACTATTTTTATTTTTTAATTAAAAAGTCTTTAAATCATGGAATTCAGCACTATAAATCACTTTAATCCGAGCGTTGTTGATCCAGGTTTTATATAAATATTTGATTATATTTTGTTATTTAAAATGAACTTTTAGTATAAAAGTTTATTTACATTTTATTAACCAATAAATCAAATTATTGCTTTTTTTTTTTTAAAAAAAAGAAATAAATTTTTTAAATTTTAATTTTTAGTATATGAGGAAAATACCCCAATTTATGAAGAACACGAGGGTAATTATGAATTGGCCGATCATCATTATGGAGAAAGAGAATACAGTGAAACACAAACAATTTTAAGTGATGGAAGTGAAAGATATGGTGTTTCGACAGTGGCATTTGACCGTCAGGAAGAATTGCTATGGATGGGAAATCAGGGGGTAAAATATTGTAAAAATATATGAATAAGACTTTATAATATTAATATTAGAATTAAAACTTCACTTTTTGGCTTTAGGGACATGTTACTTCTTATTACAGTTCAGGATTGCAAAAATACACATCATTCCAAGTTCATAATTCTGAAGAAGTTAGAGATATTCTTACATTTGATGAAGGTATTTTGGCTTTGACCAAATCTTCACTCAGATGCCAAATGAGGAGAGGTATACCAATTTATACACATGAAAGTAGTAATTTAGTTGAAATGCAATGTATGGTTCAAGTATCTTCATCTTCGATACTTATGGGAGGTCATCAATGTAATTTAATTAATTTTGATTATAATACAGGACAAGAGACTCAATTGGTTAGTATACAAATTTAAGCATTTAATGAAAAAAAAACTTGTGTGAAAATTTATACAAGTTACAAGTAAAAAAATTTCGTTTTTTTTTTTAAAGTTTGAAACGGGAGATAATGGTTGTGCCATTCTTAGACTACAAAATAGATTCATATGTGCAGGAGATACAATTGGTAATATAAAACTTTTAGACCCTGTTACAATGAGAGTTGAACATAATTTAGAAACTCATTCTGGGAGCTTAAGTGATTTCGATATACATGGGAATTTATTAGTAACTTGTGGGTTTAGTCAAAGGTAATATATTATTACCCTTTTAAAAATTTTGCATGAAATTTTATTTTAAATAAATAATTTTGGATTAAATGATTTTTTTTTAGGCATGGGAACTTGTCAATAGATAGATTTTTAATGGTATATGATTTTAGAATGATGAGAGCTGTAAGTCCTATTCCAGTAGTAATTGATCCTTTGCTTCTAAGGTTTTTACCTTCATTTTCATCTAGGGTTACTGTTGTTTCTGCTCTTGGTCAAATGCAGTTAGTTGATACAGTTGCCTTAACAGAAGCAGAGCTTTGTCTTTATCAGGTAAAGAAAAAATCATTTTATTTGTGTTGATATTGAGAATATTAAATAAAAAAATTTAACACATATTCTTTTTTAAAGATTAATACTGCTAGTTCACCTCTTACCTTGGATGTGTCTCCTTCTTGTCAGTTCATAAGTATCGGTGATTCAGGAGGGCAAATACATTTATTCAGTTCGAGTGCTCCTAATGCTAGTTTTAACAGTTTTTCTTGTGACACAGAATTTGCTGACCCTGTTGAAACGCTACCATCCATTCCTTTTGATGATTTTGAAGTGCCACTCTCGACAGTACCTTTAGGTTTTTTGCCTCTTGAAACAAAGTTGGCAAGCGATTGGCCAGAACAGTTTCTGAAAAAAGTTTACAGGTATGAGTTCATTTATAAATTTGACATTAAATTTTTATTTTTATTAATTAATTTCTACAAACTTTTTTTTTTTTTTGTTTTTTTTTTACCAAGGCCGATTCCACCGATTGATCCAGAAATTTTAAAGTCAATGAAATTGCAAGGAACCATAGGTTATGCTCCCAATCCAATGACAAAACGTCGTAATCAAGTAAAATTTTTATATGATAATGTTGAAACGATTACGTCATTCATATACAAAAATTTTTTTAAAAGTTTTGGTTTGCGTTTTATGACAAATTATTTATTTTTTTTTCATTTCAGGTATCCTATTCCATCGACGGAAGATTTTACAACACTAAAAATAAAAATTTTGGTTGTGAGGATGCTAGTAGTAGAATAGGATCTCAAGAAATAGCTATTCCTAAACGATATAGAAAGTTAGAATTAAAACATTCCAATAAAGACGATTTTGATTTTGAAGTTTTTAATAAGACAAAATTTTGCGGATTGGAAGCTCATCTCCCCAATAATTATTGCAACGTAATGTTAGAGGTAAATTAAAATTTTTCAAATATTACAAATAATTTTGAATAAACATTAATCGTTTTGTTTTAAAATGATTTTTTTTTTTTTCCAGATGCTTTACTTTTTGGAACCTATCCGTTGTATGACATTAAGTCATTTATGCTCAAAAGAATTTTGTTTGTGTTGTGAGCTTTCATTTTTGTTTGCAATGCTGGATAAATCTCAACGTACACCGTGTCAAGTAAGCACAGTAAAATTAATTGCTTATAATAGAAAATTTAAAATTGTTATGTACATAACTTTTTTGTAGATATTATTTTAAAAATTTCCTTTTTGATGTAATTTATCGTAGGCTAGTAATTTTCTGAGAGCTTTTCGCACAATACCCGAAGCCTCAGCTTTAGGTTTAATATTGAGCGATCAGAATCCGGAAACGAAGAAAAAAGTCAATTTGATTCGACTCATTCAAAGTTGGAATAGATTTATTTTGCATCAACTTCACGCGGAAACTTTGGAAGCTAGGAAAAAAAAAATATTAGAAATGGAGAGGAAAAGACACGCGAGCGAAAGTCCGAGGGGACACGGTAATCAAGTGTTGAAATATGCGGATTATCAAGTTGGTGCCACGAAAAACGAAGAATGGAGTCGACATGTTAGGGGAAAATCACACGTCACCGACCGTTCCGAAAGTGACGGTAATCATTTATAAATTCCAAAAGTGAATTTTTAAAAATGTCCCTTTTTTAAAAAACGATCATCGATTTTTTCAGGAATGTTGGAGGAACCGGAAATGAATTGCGATGAAACCGACGTCAGTCGTTTTTTCGGTATGAAACAACTTCAAATTAACAAATGTCTAAAATGCACAACCGAAATTAAAAAAGAATCGACATTATTATTATGCAATTTAGTTTATCAAAATCAAGGTAATTTATAGAATTATTTTAACGGTTTTTTTTTTTTTAAATTAAAAATATTTAAACTTAATATAGAAAATTGATGATTTAGGAGGGGAAAAAGAACAATCATTCTGTGATGTTTTATCAAAGAGCATGTGTCCAGAACAGACAACTCCGGCTTGGTGTGATAAATGTAATAAATTTAGGCCGACACTTCAACAAAAACGTTTGCAAACTTTGCCCCACATATTGGCACTTAATTGCGGAATGGAAGATACAAATGTAATTTTAAAAAAGAAAATTAATCGGGTTTGTTTAAATTATCTGCGACTTAAATTTTTTGTATTATTGAATAAAAATAGGATAAAGAATTTTGGCAAATTCAAATGGATGCAATGGTAGCAAAAGTAATCAAACAATCAGAAACCGGTAATTGTAACACTTTGGAAGGCAACAAGACGAATCTGAGTTCGATCATTAAACCGTGCAGGTACGGAGAGCATTGCATGAGAGCAAATTGTAGATTTAGGCATCCTAGTCAAGAAATAGGTATGGGCGTTTTAATTCATTTATTTTCTCATTATGATCATTATCACGTTCGAAAATGATTTTTTTAAAATAATAATAATAATAGAAAAACCGTTGGGCTCACATTCGAGTCATCTTTACTACACGAATCCCTGGCTTCCGACGCACATACAAATTGATTTAAGCACAAACGGAAATGTGGATTTGAAAAAATTAACGGAAACGGATTTACAAAAGCCATTAGAGGTTAGCATATATAAATATAAATTACGAGCAGAAAAAAAAAAGAAAAATGTTAAATTTTTAATTATTTTAAGGATTCCGACAATAAGCAAACGGTTCGTTACGATTTGATGGGTGTCGTTTGTCACATAACCGAAAGCGAAGAGAAAAAAAATTTGGTCGCATTTATTAACGTGGGAAAAAAATACTACGAACGTCTCGGGGAAAATTCCGAGCCTCAATGGTATCTTTTTAATAATTTTAGGTAAGGGTAAGTCGGTGGTAGTCGCGAGATGCAGGTCGGTTAGATAAAATAAAAATAAATTTTTTTTTTATAGCGTGACGCAAGTTCCTGAACAAGAAGTGACTTGGTTCAATCTCGATTGGAAAGTTCCATGCGTTTTGTATTGGATAAATAGAGATTTACCATCTCGTTTTTGTCCGGCGGACATTCCCAATCCGATAACCGTAGACGTTTTCAGCGAGGATAAATGCATAATCAAGGACAGGGGTAGAAAAAGAATAACGTTCATGCCTCTGGGAATGGATGAGATACCGAAAAAAGGTACGAATGCACTTCTTTTTTTTTTTTTTTCTAGCTAAGTAAGGAATGTTTGGAAAAAAATGGGAATTTTTTTTTTTTCACACAGGTGAATTAGTCGCGATGGATGCTGAATTTGTCACACTTAATCAAGAGGAAGCGGAATTGAGGAGCGATGGTAAATTATCAACGGTTAAACCTTCTCACATGAGCGTAGCTAGAATTACATGCATTAGGGGGTAAGTATAACAACATAATAAGGGTAGCGTGGAGTGGAAAGTTGAGGAAAATGATAATTTTTTTCCCTTTTTTATTTTGGCAGGCAGGGAGTTTTACAGGGTACGCCATTTATCGACGATTATATATCAACGCAAGAACAAGTTTATGATTATTTAACAAAATTTAGCGGAATACAACCGGGTGATTTGGATGCTAATTTTAGTTCGAAACATTTGACAACGTTAAAATCGACATATTTAAAATTACGATTTTTAGTCGATATCGGTGTTAAATTTGTCGGTCACGGTTTAAAAAATGATTTCAGGTTTGTGTGGGGAGCGAGGGGGGGGGAAACTAATAATTTACGTATAAGATAAAATAAGATAATATTATCCGTATTATTATTATTATTATTATTATATTTTAGAGTTATAAATATATTGGTACCGCCGGAGCAAGTTATTGACACGGTATTTTTGTTTCGACTTCCACGTCAGAGAATGATATCGTTGCAGTTTTTAGCATGGCATTTTTTAGGGATTAAAATACAATCCGTCACTCACGATTCGATAGAAGATGCGTGTGCGGCTCTTCAACTCTATTATCATTATCTCAAACTTGAAAAAGAAGGGATACTACAGGAGAGTTTGAAAAAACTTTACGAAGCGGGAAAATCCCTACAGTGGCTCGTACCCGATAGCGAAGACAATTCGTTGAGGTGGGATTTGAGCGATGAAGAAATTTAAATAATTCCGGCTTTCCTTTTTTTTTTCTCCCTTCCCCCTCACTTCCCCCCCACTCCCCCCCAATTAATTTCTTACAATCGTGTCTTCCAAAATGTTCCGATCCAGCCAACAGTTTGTTTAAAAAAAAAAAAAAAAATTAAAATGAAGAATGAATGAATCGAAAACGTACAAATAAATATTTCAGTCAATTCAATCAAAAAAAAAAAAAAAAAAAGTATTTAAAAAAAATAATTAATAATAATAATAATAGTAATAATAATAATAATAATAATAATAATTTATATTGTATCCGATAGTTAAGTTTGACAGGTTATTTTTTTTTTTTTTTACATAAATATAATTTTTATAATTTATTTTTTTAATTAATTTTTTTAATCCTTCTTTGTATTCGTAGAAATATATATGCGATAGTAAATTATTATTATTATTATTATTATTATTAATATTATTATTATCGTTGTAATATTACAATAAAAAAAAAAAAACAATGTTAATCGCACAAAGGTAAAAGTGAAACTGAAACTTACCTGTATACAAATGATTTTCCTCGTTCTCCCACTTCTCCCATCTCGTTCCCCGCCTCCTGCTTCCTGGCCCCTCCCCCGTCCAAAAAAATATGTATATTTTATTTTATTTTTTTTAATTATCATATTAATTTTTGTTATAATTTTTCTCAATCGATATAATAAATAAATTTTCTCTCTCTCTCTCTCTCTCTCTCTCTCTTATTAAAAAAACAAAAACCAAAAAAAAAAAAAAATAGGGAAATTCAATCAATTTATTTTATAAATTTTATTAATTAATAATTTATGAATTTTTAAAAAATTATTATTATTATCCTCATTAATAAATAAATAAATAAATAAAATGGAGTATTTAGGTTTGATTGAAATTTTATAAACGTCGTTAATTATGCAATAAAAAAAAAAATTAAAAAAAAATTGTTTTATAAATTTATCATTATTATCATTATTAATTATTAATTATTATTATTATTATTAATCTATATGTATGTAATTTTTCAAAAATGAAATAATTTTTGTAAAAAAATGTTTATTATTATTATTTTTTTAATAAAAAATAAATAAAAAAAATTATTTTTTTAAGGAAATAATTTATTTAATAAGTGTTATGATAAATCATCCTGTCTTATCATCATCATCATCATTATTATTATTATTATTATTATTATTCCTTTGTTATTGTTATTCAATATTAGTTTTCGATGATTGTGTAAAGGGGTTAATGAAAAAAAATTATAAAAAGGAAGAAAAAAAGGAATTTGTTGTGTTATTATTATTATTATTATTTTGACGATTAAAAATTTTATTATTTAAATAAATGGGGTATTAAATAGATTGTTTATCGTTTATTTGTTTGTTTGTTTGTTTGTTTTCGTTTGTTTTTCAACGTCATTTTCTTTTAAAGCATGAAATAGCATTAAAATAACATTTGTAGTAAACACCCGGCCTATCTCTTTTCGGTTCTTTCTTTTTTCCTTTTCTTGTAACCTGGAAAATTTTAAAAATATTTTTTTGAAAAAATCAATTAATACCTTCAAACACACATTCAACAACAGCAACAACGACAAACAAACAAACAATCCCTTTTTATTATTATTATTTTTAAAAAAACCCCAAAAAAAAATTTCCAAAGAGGAGAAAATATTTAAGATTTATTTAAAACCGAAAAGAAAATTAATTAATGATAATGATAATTAAATCGAATACTTACAGGTGACCAATCGTCAATTAGCTGATTACTTTCATTAGCCGATTCAATTTCCTTTAATATCCGATCTATAATAAAAGCTGCTCGCTTTTGAACATCCTGTGGGATAACGAAAAAAAAAAAAAAAAAAATTTTAAATTTAAGGGAAAACGGAACGACGCGATCCTTTCTTTATTATTATTATTTATAATAACGAACCTGATAATTTCCTTTGTATGGAATTCCAGATTGATAAATTGGATAAACATTTTCCGAACTGGTAACATCCGTCATTTCCGGTAGAGGAGTTCTTTTGTTGTAGTTGAATGTATAAACTCCATTGTCGGGTATCGTACCGCAATGGACAACGGGTGACAACCACGCGACTAAACACAAAACGACAAACGTGTGACCTGTAAAAAAAAAAAAAAAAAAAACCATGTTTTATTACGTACGCCCCCCGCCCAAACACACCCCTCCCTCTTCCTCCCCTCATTTCCTTAATTTTACAAAAAAAAAAAATTTTCCGAATTTGGTGTTTTTTTTTTCCGCTGCTCGAGAATTTATAAGTTAAGACATGAAATTCAATTATTATTATTATTATTATTATTATTATTATTAGTAAATAAAACTTTTTTGCGATCATAATAATAATAATAATAAAACCGAAAAAAAAAAATCAATTAATTAATTAATTTACTAATTTACATGCCGACAGAATTCTGTCTGATAACAGTTAAATGATAAACGTTGCTGCTGCTGTTGTTGTTGTTGTTGTTTATCAATTTCGAATTGATAAAATTGATTATGAGACGATGACGAAGACGTCGACGACGACGACGACGACGACGATGACGACGCCATTTAATTGCAAATAATAATAATAATACAAACGATTTTTTTTTCTCATTTAACAAAAAAAAAAAAAA